GCCAAGAGACATATGAAAAAATGCTTAAAGTCACTGATCATCAGAGAGATACAAATTAAAATGGCAATGAGTTATCACCTCACACCTGTCAGAATGGCTATCATTGACAAATCAACAAATGACAAGTGTGGGAGAGGATGTGGAGAAAAGGGAACCACAGTATAATGCTGGTGGGAATGCAGACTGGTGCAGCCACTGTGGAAGACAGTATGGAGTTACCTCAAAAAATTAAATATGGAACTGCCATTTGACCTAGTGTTCCCACTTCTAGAAATGTATCCTAAGAAATCAGAAACACCAATCAGAAATAATGTATGCACCCCATGTTCATAGAAGTGTAATTTACATTAGCTAAGATCTGGAAACAGCCCAAGTGCCTGTCAGTAGATGAATGGATAAAAAAGCTGTGGTACATTTACACCATGGAATATTATGCAGCTATAAAAAAGAAGACTATCTTACCCTTTGAGACAGCATGGAGGGATCTGGAGAGTATTATGCTAAGCGAAATAAGCCAGTCAGCAAAAGACAAGTATCACATGGTCTCACTTGTGGTGAGTATACTCAGCCCCAGGGCGCCTTATGTGCCGCACCAGCTCAGCCAGGTTCAGTAAGCCTGAGAGGGGGCAGTAAAGGATTGAGAAAAGACAGACAAGAGAATAAAAGCTGGGTCGGGGTGGAGTGCTGCCCTCTCTGATGGAGAGCTAGCGACAGCACCATGGACTACAAGCCATGTCTTTATTTTATAGCCAGATTCCAGGAGGCAAAGTAAGGGCTTGACCAAGATGTTTACAACATTCTCGTGAGTTTCGATCCTACTCAATTACATGCACCTGAACTCTATCAAGCCCACATCACTCAGGCTCATGGGGTCACGTGTTCGGACCATAGGTTCAAGCTTACAACCGTAGCTGTTGGCTATAATTGTACTGGGAGGGCTTTGCCCTCCAAGCTGGGACTTGCACATGGCCATAAGAGGACTGTGCCCTCTCATTAGTCCAAGGCTTGAACCTGTCCAAACGCTGTTGCTGCTCTCCACACTCACTCATATGTGGAATCTAATAAACAACAACAAAAAATTATGAACAAAATAGATCCAGAGACATAGAAACATGGAACAGACTGTCAAACCTCAGAGTGAAGATGGGGGAGAGGGACTGGGAAGAGATTAACCAAAGACCTTGTATGCATTTATGCATAACCCATGGACACAGACAATAGGTGGTGAAGGCCTGGGGTGGGGGTGGGCTAGAAGAGGTAAATGGGGGGGAAAGGGGACAAAGGTAATACTTTCAACAATAAAAATCTTTTTTTTTTAAGGAAGCCTCAGCTTCTCACCCTGGAGTCTGACCTTTGGCTCTACCACTAACTAGCAGCATGACCGTAGGCAAGTTTATTAACTTTCCAGCCTGTTATTTCATCTGAAATATGTGCTAATAATAATACCTATCTTATAGGATTGATATGATTAAAGGAGCTAATGCATTGAAAGGACTTGGTACAGGTGCCGGGCACGCAGTAACCTCTTATTAAAACAGTTATAATGATTTTTTATCTTTATCAGGAAGAATTAGGAAGGGTTAGAGAGCAACCAAAGGACTTGTATGTGTGAATATTAGCATAACCAATGGACACAGACACTGGGGTTGTGGGCGCTTGCCCGGGGTGGGACTGGCTGGGGGTGGGGTGTCAGTTGGGGAAAAAGAGACATATGTAAAACTTTAGAGAATAAAAATAAATAAATTAGTTAATTAATTAATTTAAAGAAAAGAATCAGGAAGAGGAAGAAGATTCAGCAAAGGAGACTGATAAGTAGACACCAAAAAGGTCAGGGAGTGGGGAACATGAGAGAAGCGTGTCATGGAAACCAAGGATAAAGAATTCCAGGAAGGAAGGAGATAGAATACAAAAGGACACTCAGAGGCCAGTTTCTTTTGATGAGTGATTTTCATCTTAGTGACCAATGAGAATGAAAGCAGAAAGGAAGAAAATAAGCCCATCGTTTGAAATGAAGCCTTTTACAAGCTAACTCCATTAGTCTGGTTAGCCCAGGTGTCATCTCCATGTCTCCTAATTAGGGAGAACACATATTTATTGAGTAAAGGAAAAGCCAATGCCACACAAATTAAGTAAAAAAGAAATGTCAGATTACATTAGGTTGGTGAAATAAAATTTAGACAATCTTAAATTCACAAAGCAGAGGAGGATAAACAGGATGAAACAGGATGAATCACAGAACAGGTTTTCAGAGGAGTGGTCTATACTGGAGGCCCAGGCTAACGCCAGTGAAAAGGAGGGTAATGGTATAGATCATTCTTTTTTTAAATCATCACCCGACTATATTTCCTCCATTGATTTCTAGAAAGAGTGGAAGGGAGGGAGGAGGGAGGGAGAGAGAACCATCTGTGTGACAGAGACACACTGAATGGTTGCCTCCCACACGTGCCCCTATGGGGGCTGGGGAACCTGCAACTGAGGTATATACCCTGGACCAGGAATCAAACCCGAGACCCTTTGGTCCAGGGCCAAGGCTCCAACCACTGAGCAAACCAGCCAAGGCATCTTTATTTTTTATTTTATCTTTCTATTCTACCTGCTGCCAGAAAGAAATTATGGCTGTATAAACCGTGTCTTGAGCTGGGAAGTGTTGTGGCCTCTGTGGAAGCCTGAGTGGAACTGCCTCTTGCCTGAGGGTGATGGAGGGATCCCCTTTGGCTCCTGAGAGATGGTGGTGGCTGCCAGGGTCCCAGAGGTGCCCCAATAGATGCAATGAGTGGCTGGCTCCTGGCCTGTTCTCAGTTTAAGGGCTCCTCCCAGTCTCCTTCTGGCCTTGAGGGTTAAGAATGCTGAATTTTTTAAAAATATATTTTTATTGATTTCAGAAAGGAAGGGAGAGGGAGAGAGAGAAACATCAATGATGAGAGAGAATCATTGATTGGCTGCCTCCTGCACACCCCACACTGGGGATTGAGCCTGCAACCCAGGCATGTGCCCTTGACTGGAATCAAACCTGGGAACATTCAGTCTGCAGGCTGATGCTCTATCCACTGAACCAAGCCAGCCAGGATGAGAATGCTGAATCTTAAGGAAAACAGGGAGTGTCAGGTGGGGAAGGGTAATGGCAGAGCTCAGAGAGAGAGCCTCCACCACCCTCTACCAAGAGATGAGTATGGCTGGGTGTGGGGAGTCCTAAGGTCAGATCGTGAGGTCATTGATGGAGCAGGAGCAAGAGCCCAGGGAGGACCTAAGGAACTGTTTCTGGAAAGAGAAATACTTCAAGGCAGGTTTTTGTCATGGCAGCCCAGACAGGCTTTCTACAGTGCCTGGCTTCAGCCCCTAACCCCTTCAGGGTCCCTTTATCTCTCTGAGTGGCCCATCAACTGCTACTATAATTAGAGCCCCAATCACTCCTCCTGGGCTCCTCAACCTGTGCCATTCCCAATACAACATAGCCCAGAGTTCTGTATGGAACCCTGGAATCTGTGGTTCCTACCAGGCTTCCTGTCACTGTCAATCTCCACGTGACCTCAAACGCTCTCCCCTGACCCACACAGAAGCTCTGTGCTTCTCCCCTGAGGCATCATCTCCCACTGCTGCACACTCTGTCCTCTCAGCTCTGTGGAGCACCAATTTCCGCATGACAAACTCCTTCAAGTCCTCGAGTTTGTGCATCCAATTCACTCCCCACCCCCTGCCTTAAATGCAATCATTCCCATACACCCAGCCTTGTCCTGCTCACAGAGCAGGGACATATGCACCTACAAGAGACATAGGGACCTTTGGGGCCTGAGGTCACACATGTCCTGTCCTTTTTTTTTTTTTAAATCACACTCCAATATGAGATCAGGAGAGGGGACAAGGCAGGTTTCTCAGAAGGTCCCTCACCTCCTCCCTGCCCCATGAATGCCCTTCACTCTGATAAAATGGCATGGCTTTCTGATCCCCATGTTCCCTCATGTGTCCTAGCTACTAGATTGCTTTTCATCCCTCCCCAGCTATTCTCAATTCTCAGATTGGTGTAGGGTTGGCTTGGAGTCCTGGGCTGCCTGCGTCCTCTGGCATGTAGCTTCAGGGCTTAGGACAGTGGTTCTCAACCTTCCTAATGCCACGACCCTTTAATACAGTTTCTCATGTTGTGGTGACCCCCAACCATAAAATTATTTTCGTTGCTACTTCATAACTGTAATGTTGCTACTGTTATGAATCGTAATGTAAATATCTGATATGCTATATGCATTTTCCGATGGTTGAAACCCACAGGTTGAGAACCGCTGGCTTAGGGGGTGAGGCTCCATCCAGTGCTATCAGCTGAGCCTCTGGTGCTGGGCTCCCGTGAGTAACTGCTCTCTCCTTTCCTTAACTGGGATTTGGGAAGAGGCCGGTTTCAGTCCACAGGAGAGATTGCTGGTTGTGACCACGATGTCAGCTAAGAGCAGCAACAGTGATCTAAGAAATCCACCCAAAGGAAGAAGAGCTGCTCCTCCCCAAAGGGACAAGGAATGAAGCCTCTAGACTTCCCATTTGGGGTTGTACTCGCAGCACCGGACCCCAGCCATAAGACGCCTCTGGATACATTTCATTTTATCTTTCTATTCTACCTGCTGCCAGAAAGAAATTATGGCTGTATAAACCGTGTCTTGTGTAGACAAATATTCCACAAGTGTTTACAGTATAGAGTAAAACAGAAAAGATGAACTGGACAGACTATAGAACAGCACTTATATTTGACACTTTTATCTGTACATATATCTATCTGGGTACAGAAGAAAGCACTGAAGCATTGTCAGCTAGTGGGTGCCATAGTTTGGTTCTGTGATCTAAAGGACAAGTCAATTGTAGAAAGAGTCTCTATTTACCTTTGGGGAATACTTCAGCTTATTTCTTCTTCCCTTTGCCTCACCTGAAAAATGAGATTGCTAAAAACCCCATCCCTTTATAGTTTTTGACCATATTTATTTCCTTTTCCTTTATTCTGAAAATTATACCACAGAGACATTAAAATCGATGCTGATATATATTTATTGACATAGAAAGAAGCCCACAACAAATTGGTGAAAAAATACAGACTATAGAACAGCACTTATATTTGACACTTTTATCTGTACATGTATCTATCTGGGTACATAGGTATAGGGAAATATCTAGAAGGATAGTCATCAGAGGGTTGACAATGGTTATATAAAGGTGGGAGATTTGGACTAATTTGTACTTGACTTTTTGTATTTTTGTTGTTCGAAGATTTAGCAGTGAATTATACCACTTTCATAAAGAGAATAAAGCCATCAAGGAAATGAGCACACACAGAAAATAGACCCTTAGGCAGCAGAGGTGGGAGTGGGGAGCAAGGACAGAGGACAGGCCACCTTTCTTATATCCAAGACCCTTTCTCCTGCACCCGAAAAAAAGCTGCTTTGTGGATTAATTCATGCAATTAGAAGCCCCCTCCCTCAGTTTTCCCATCACTAAGCTCTGAATATAGCTTAAGGGTTCATTTAAGGCTGAAGACTAGCACCTCACTGTAGCTCAGAAGGGTCATTGGATTGGTCAGGAGCCTCTCTTGACCCCTCCTCCTCCCTATGTGTGAGCTCCTGCAGGGTCATGACCAGATTTTCAAACATCTCAGCCTTGTTGCTCTTGTCACAGGTTTCCTTCGAGTGGTCCTCCTTGCCACAATATGAAGAGTGGGTTGTGTATTTTCGCTTCCTGGCTCTACAAATATCCCCAGGGCCATCATTTTTATCTCCAGAACCCCCACTGGTGGAAGGAGATTGCGCCTGGGAACTATTGGGGGAATCAATGACTACCACTTGATCCTGAGGTCTGGCTCTGCTTCTGGGGGGAGGAGACCCAGAGGATGAAAGTGGAGGGTCCTGAGACTCCACCAGGATCACATCTTCATCTGAGTCATCCAGGGTGTCATCTATCTCTATCACGTTGCAGTCAGCACTGCCGATCACTATCCGTAGG